CGGGACGAGCTGGCCGTACAGAGGGACAATTAGTGTACAGCGGGACAGGCAGCGGCCGTACAGCGGGACAATTAGTGTACAGCGGGACAAGCAGCGGCCGTACAGCGGGACAATTAGTGTACAGCGGGACAAGCAGCGGCCGTACAGTGTGACAATTAGTGTACAGCAGGACAGGCAGCGACCGTACAGAGGGACAGGCAGTGGCCGTACAGCGGGACAGGCAGCGGCCGGCCGTACAGAGGGACAGGCAGCGACCGGCCGTACAGAGGGACAGGCAGCGACCGGCCGTACAGAGGGACAGGCAGCGGCCGTACAGAGGGACAGGCAGCGGCCGGCCGTACAGAGGGACAGGAAACCCCGGGACCCCCGAGCTCGGCGGGCACCTGCCCCGTGAAGCCGCCGCAGACGTGGAGCCTGCCGCCCAGGGCGCCCGCGTTGGAGGCGTTGGTCCGCAGGGACAGGAGGGGGCGCGGCATGGGGGGCCCCTCTCGCCAGAGGTCCCCGTCGGGGTTGTAGATCTCCACGGCGTCCAGGCACTGCCGGACCTGGCCCTGGTCCCGGCCCACGCAGCCGGTCCCGCCTGCCGAGGACGAGAGAGGCAGGGAGGCAGGGAGGTCAAGAACAGGGCCTCCGCGGAGGCCGGCTCCTTCCCAGGGGGGCACATTGGCCTTTGACCGTTCCCACCCCCCGTTTTTTTTGTTTTTTCTTTTTTTTTGAGACAGAGTCTGGCTCTGTCCCCCGGGCTGGAGTGAGTGCCGTGGCGTCAGCCTAGCTCACAGCAGCCTCCGACTCCTGGCCTCGAGCGAGCCTCCTGCCTCGGCCTCCCTCCCGAGTAGCTGGGACTACAGGCACGCGCCACCACGCCCGGCTCGTTTTTTTTTTTCCTATATATTTTTAGTTGTCTAATTTCTTTCTTAGTTTCTAATTATTAGTAGAGACGAGGTCTCGCTCTTGCTCAGGCTGGCCTCTAACTCCTGGGCTCCAGTGATCCTCCCACCTCGGCCTCCCTCCCGAGTAGCTGGGACTACAGGCATGCGCCACCACGCCCGGCTCTTTTTTTTCCTGTATCTTTTTAGTTGTCCCGCTCATTTCTTTCTATTTTTTTTCTAATTATTAGTAGAGACGAGGTCTCGCTCTTGCTCAGGCTGGCCTCTAACTCCTGGGCTCCAGTGATCCTCCCACCTCGGCCTCCCTCCCGAGTAGCTGGGACTACAGGCGTGCGCCACCACGCCCGGCTCATTTATTTCTTCGATTTTTTTTAGTTATTTGGCTCATTTGTTTCTATTTTTAGTAGAGACAGGGGTCTCGCTCTTGCTCAGGCTGGCCTCTAACTCCTGGCCTCGAGCGATCCTCCAGCCTCAGCCTCCCTCCCAAGTAGCTGGGACTCCAGGCATGCGCCTCCACGCCCGGCTCATTTTTTTTTTCCTGTAGCTTTTTAGTCGTCCAGCTCATTTCTTTCTATTTTTTTTTTTTTTTAATAGAAACAGGGTCTTGCTCTTGCTCAGGCTGGTCTCAAACTTCTAACCTTGAGCAATCCTCCTGCCTCGGCCTCCCAGAGTACTAGGGTGTCAGGCGTGAGCCCCCATGCCCAACTAATTTTTTTCTATATATTTTTAGTTATCCAGCTAATTTCTTTGCAGATTTTTTAGTAGAGACGATGTCTCGCTCTTGGGCTCGGGCTGGTCTCAAACTCCCGACCTCGAGCGAGCCTCCCGCCCTGGCCTCCCAGAGTGCTAAGAAGACAGGCGTGAGCCTCCGCGCCCGGGCTGGTGAAGTCTATTTCTTTCCTTGTTCAGAGTGAGCTTAAGAAATATATATCTGAGCCCAGAACGTTCTTGCAGTTAGATGAGAGCATACCTGAGACCCTGCTCTGACTTATCCATGCCAGGACAGTTGACCAAAGAACCTCCCTGAATTTTCTAGAATATTCCAGGATACAGTGTTACTGTTTGGGGGAGAAGAGACATTGTCTTAGTCACTCATCTCTGCCTGTCCTTTTAAGGCCAACCGAGGGACAAGCTCCCGTAACACACGCTTAGTAAGTATTTTGAGCATTTCAGCCGGGCGCAGTGGCTCATGCCCATCATCCCAGCTACTCAGGAGGGAGGCCGAGGCGGGAGGATCGCTCGAGGTCGGGAGGTGGAGGCCAGCCTGAGCAAGAGCAGGACTTCCCCGTCTCTACTAAAAATAGAAAGAAATTAATTGGCCAACTAAAAATATATAGAAAAAATGAGCCGGGCGTGGTGGCGCACGCCTGTGGTCCCAGCTACTCGGGAGGGAGGCCGAGATGGGAGGATCGCTCGAGGTCAGGAGTTGGAGGCCAGCCTGATTAGCAAGAGCGAGACCCCGTCTCTACTAGAAAAAAATAGAAAGAAATTAGGTGGACAACTCAAAATATATAGGAAAAAGTTAGCCGAGCGTGGAGTGGCTCACGCCTGTCGTCCCAGCACTCTGGGAGGCCGAAGAGGGAGGATCGCTCGAGGTCAGGAGTTGCCAACGCCTCAACTCTTAGGCCTGGGGCAACAATACGTGAGGGAACTCTGTGTCCAGGATGAAAGAAATTAAAAAGATTTAAACAAATAAAAAGAGTAAAAATGAAATAAAAAAAATTAAAAAAAAAAAACAAAACAAAAAAAAAAATAAAAAACAAAAACAAAAAAAACAAAAATGAAAAAACAAAGAGCAAAAACCAAAATAAAAGAAATAAAAAACAAAAAAAATTTTTTAAAAAGCAAAAACAAAACAAAAAACCACTTGCTGAAAACCCAAAGTGGCATTTTTCGGAAAAAACTAAAAAAAATGCTCACTTCGCGAAGCAAAGCCGCCAATTATTGAGCAGCATGACGCCACCGTATGTTTAGAGCTAAAGCAATTTTGCTAGCCACGGTTGCATTGCAACTGTTGTTTCGTTTTGGTTTCCCGAAAGGAAAAAAAAAGAAACCCCCTGACCCGTGAATAAGTCGTATAGTTAATAACCGAGGCCCTCGGCTAAAGGCTCTTTAATTAACAAATTTGTTTCTCGGTCTCTTTCTTTGTTAAATTTTATTTTGATTTCTTTAGGCCAAAGAGTCAATGCAAAGTTTTTTTTTTATTTTCATTCGTGTTGTCACTTTGTTTTTTTATTATATAATTAAAAAGAGACAGACCAACAAAAACTGTTTTTTTTTTTGTTTTTTTATCCTTTCTTTCTTTCCTTGCAGAGTTTGTTGCGGTAGAAATTAATGGAGATGAGGGCCGGGCGCGGGGGTGTCCGCTGTTTAATTCCTGCTCTTTGGACGGCGAGGCGGGCGATTGTTCGGAGGTTCAGGAGTTCTAAACCAACAAGCCTGAGCGAGAACCCCGTCTCTTTTACCTTTATAAAATAAGAAAATTAATTTGGCCAACTGGAGGTATACGCTATTATAAGAAATTAGCGGCGCATGGTGGGCATTGCCTGCCAGTCCAGGTACTCGCGAGGAGCCGAGCAGGAGGAGTCGCTGAGCCAGGAGTTGCAGGTTGCGCTCGTCGAGCGAGGTGACAGCCACGGCGCGTCACTCCAGGCCTGGGCACAACAGGCGAAGACTGCGTGCTCAAAAAAAAAAACGGAAATATTATAATGTATATATAGAGAAAAGAATATAAGTATATACGAGAAGGCGACAGTGATTAGTGGGTTTAGAAAAAAAAGTATATATAGAAAAAAAAGTCTGATATTAGAAAAGATAGAAAAAAGATAAGTGATATATAGAAAAACGAGCAGGCGTGTGGGGATGCCTGTCGTCCCAAGCTACGTCGGGAGGAGGCTGAGGCAGGAGAATGCGCTGGCCCAGAGTTGGAGGCTGGCTGGAAGCGAGCTGACGCCACGGCGCTCAACTCTAGCGCTGGGCAACAAAAGGTGAGACTCGCGTGTCCAAAAAAAAAAAAAAAAATAAAATATGTATAGTATATGTAGAAAGATAGTAGGTATATAGAAAGTATACTATGTATAGGAAAAATATAGAGAAAAAAAATTATAGAAAAATATAACAAATATATAATCATATAGTAAAAAATATGATTATAGAACATAACGAGGCGCCGGGCGTCGGGGGCGCGATGCCTGTAGCCCCAGCCGTACTCCGGGGACCTGAGGCAGAAGCGTTGCGAGCCCAGAGTTTGAGGGTGCTGAGCTGAGGCGAGGCCACGCACTCACTCTAGCGCTGGGCAACAAAGCCGAGAGGCTCGCTGTCTCAAAAAATAATAAAGTAAATAAATAAAATCAAATAAATAAAATAAAATATGCAAAGAACAAAGCAGAGCAACAAAAAATAAACAAACAAACAAAACGAAAACAAAAAAATAAAACAACAAAACAAATAAAGAACAAAACAACAAAAGAAGATAAACGAAACAAAACAAAATAAAATAAAACAAAATAAAGCAAAACAAAACAAACACTTGCTGAACCCAAGGCCATTTCGGAACCATAAAATGCTCACTT